CGTAACCCCTATGCTACCAGAGGTGTGGGACCAGAATATTGTTCTGCAGTGGAAGGGACTTGAACAGAACACAATTTACTGACAAAGACAATATTTTACACAGAACTTCCATCTTCTGTCACCTTTTTACTTTAAATTTGTCCTTTAGGTCTCGGCTCAAATGCTGCACCTCTGAACATCCAGGCTGTGTTGAGCACCTTTTCTGGGCTCCCAATACGTTTGAAAGGAGCTCTGGTAGCATAGTAGTTACGAATCGGGCTGCAAACCTTGAGGTCAGCAGTTCTGACCTATGCCACTTCCTCTTCACCACCAGAGCCCATGGGCAGAAAATGGTGCTGTGCAGGGAAGAAGACAGAGACACTCTCAAGCTTGTACCAAGAAGGTCCCCCAAGATTGCATCCAATCTGCATAGCCCCACCCACCTCCTGCAAGAAGGCACAACTTTTCCAATAAAAGGAGAGGTGCAGAGTTGGACCAGTCGGCCCAACAAGTGAGGAGGCCAGGGTTCTAACTTGGGCCTCCTGAGTCTACCCTCAGGGCCTCTCAGTTGGGATCGCTGCCAGCTGGCTGTGGTGGTGTCATGTGACTGCCACCCACCCTGGCACTGCCCACAAACTGCAAAGAAGCTGGCTTTCTGCTTTACCTTTCTTCTCCTCCCACCTGGCGTGCTGCTCCTCCCTGGGGCCTGGGAGCTGCTGACATTGGGAGCAAGGGCAACGAGACTCAGTTCTTGGGGATCCATGCTGCTGTTCCCATGAGCTCTGCCCTCCGTGACTCCGGGATCCCCACTCCCAGCTCTGCCAGAGCATTTGGACATGTGAGGAGGCAGAGTCCAAGGGCAGGAGGGCGGGACTGCCTGGACGGGAAATGAGGCAATTTCTTCAAGTCTCAACAGACACTGGAGCAACATTTTCCTTCCTGCTCCCAACTCATGCCAACCACAGTCAGCTCCCAGAAGGGAAGTCTGTGCTCTCCAGAATCATCACCAGGGTCTAGAGTTCTTCAGCCACCTTGTATTCTTGTTTCACGGGCCAGCATGCATGGAGGGGGGCGATGGGCAGAAACCCAGGAGTGTCCCTTTAATGACTGGACACAAGAAAAGGTCCCAACCCTAACTCCACCCCTTCTTAACCGAGTGACCTCAGGCAAGTTGCTCGCTGTCTGAACTGCCTGTTCCACACACGGGAGGCTATTGGGCCTGCCCTGATTGTTCTGACTTGTTACTCTGAGGCTTGGATATACAAGCAGCCAGTGTGGCATGGAACTGATCTGCCCCTCAGCTCCAGAACACACAGGGAGGTTGTGGGTTTACAAGGAAAAGAATTAGCCACCTGACCTGTCCCTCTCTCCTGCCCACTCAGCATGTGCTGAGCAAACGCCTAAAAACCCACCAACTACATAGAGTTTTCGTTCCATAGGGCTGATTTTTCACAAATAGATTACTAGGCGTTTCCTCCTAAATGCTTCTGGCAAACTCAAACCTCCAACCTTCCAGTTGGCAGCCATATGGAATCACCATTTGTTTGTACCACCCAGGGACTCCTGAGCAAACACCTGCTGTGTGCTCAGTGGGAGAGCCTTGAGACAAGACCCTTCAACTCACACTAGGTCATCCCCAGAACGGCCTACAGGTCCCCACTGTCAGAGAAGCGCCTCGGCCGTGTGCGCCCAGGAGCAGAAGACCCATGAGGAGGCTGAGCCAGCAGCAAAGGTGTGCTTGCAAGACTCGCCACAGCAAGGGCAGGTTCAAGTCCACCAGAAACAGGTGGAGAAGCAACATGCCAGCTTGGATGGGGAACATGCGCATTGAGATTCAAGATGCAGCACGTTGCAGATGTGCTGGGAGCATGCAAGGCAGACACACATGAACAGGGTATGCCACCAAACACACATGAACACAGGTACATCACCAAACACACATGAACGTGGGTACATCACCAAACACACATGAATGTGGGTACACTGCCAAACACACATGAATGTGGATACACTGCCAAACACATGAATGTGGGTATACCACCAAACACACATAAACATGGATACACCACCAAACATACAGGTACAGGGGTACAGTTACACTGCCAAACACCAGTGAACATGAGTATACTACCAAAAAACATGAATGCACATATGTTGTTAAACACACCATCAATTACTCATAAACATGGGTATACATGTTGACAACCACACATGAACATGCTTACACTGCTAAACACATGTGAACATGCATACATCACCAAACACAGGTAGACATGAGTACGATGCCAAACACACATGAACACAAGTATGTCATCAAACACATGGGTACACTGCCAAGCACACATGGACATGGGTATGCCACCAAATACACATGGACACCATCAAACACACATGAACACAGATAGACACACACCAACAAACACATGTGAACATGGGTACACCTATAAACATACATGAATACAAGTATGTCATCAAACACATAGGTACACTGCCAAACACATGTGAACATGGGTACACCATCAAACACACATGAACTGAGGAGCATCACCACATGCAAACACGTGTATGCCATCAACCACACACGTACACCACCAAACAAATAATAACATGGGTACACACCATCAAACACACATGCACTACCCACATGAACCCAGTACACCGTCAAATACATGTGAACACAGGCACATCACTAAGCACACGTGAACATGGGTACACATCAGAACCATGTGACTACATCTGGCCCACCTCACATAGCTGTGGCAAAATGATGACTAGGAGCCAATACGGAACCAAGATTTCCTCTCTTCCCTCCCCTCCAGAAAACCCTTAATAGTTAGGCTCAGTATCTACTCAGCTAGGACCCCTGGTGGCACACAGGTTGGACACTCAGCTGCCAGCAGGACGGCCAACAGTTCAAATCCCCTGCACACACAAAAAAGGCAGTGTTCTCCTATAAAGACTCACAGTCTTAAGAACCTTGTGGGGCAGTTCTCCTCTTTCCTACGGGGTCAGAACTGACAAAACAGCAGTGTTGGTTTGGGGGTTTATGAACAAGGAGCCCTGATGGTGCAGATGCTTAAGCTCTGAGTGCTAACTGAAAGATTCGTAGTTTGAACCTACCCAGAAGCTCCAGGGAAAACAACCTAGTGACCTGTTTCCATAAAGATGAGCCAGTTGTACTCTGTAACGCATGGAACCGCAATGAGTCAAAACAACACGTACTGAGCACAAGAATTGTTCTGTAACAAGCATTCTGTGTATCACCCCCTCGAGGATCCCTCTTGGAGCATCGTCCATCTCTGGAATTGATTTTCAAAACCTTGGGCTGCTTCACATGCTGAACTGTGAGTCCTGAGCAGGGATCATGCACGGAAATACGTAATGACAGGATCATGCTCAATGACTTATGCCATTCCCTGGACGCTCTGGGAACTTTCTGGAAGAGGGGATCCCTGAAGAGACTCTTAAAGGATAAGTTCTTGCTGTTGTTGTTACGTGCCATGGAGCTAGTTCCAATTCATAGCAACTCTATGCACAACAAAACAAAACACTGCCCAGTCCTGTGGCATCCTCACAGTTGCCATATTTGAGCTCATTGATGCTGCCACTTTGTCAATCCATCTTGTTGGGGCTCTTCCTCTTTTTTGGTGACCCTCTACTTTTCCTTCTCTGTGAACTGGTCCCTCCTGATAACATGTCCCAAGTACATGAAACAATGTCTCACCTCCCTTGTTCTAAGGACCATCCTGGCTATATTTCTTCCAAGACAGATTTATTGGTTCTCCTGGCAGTCCGTGATATTTTCAATATTAGTCACCAACACCATAATTCCAATGCATCAATTTTTCAATGGTCTTCCTTATTCCTTGTCTCACTTTTCACATGCATATGTGGTTGCTGTTGTTGTTAAATACCGTTGAGTCGGGTTTGACTCGTAGCAAACCTGTATAGGGATTTGTTGTTGTTATTGTTAGGTGCCATTGAGTTGGTACTGACTCATAGTGACCTTATGCACAGCAGAATGAAACACTGGGCCAACCTCACTACTGTTACCACACTTGAGTCCATCGATGCTGCCACTTGGCCAATCCATCTCATTGGGACTCTTCCTCTTTTTCTCTGACCCTCCACTTTGTTGTTGTTGTCAAGTGCCGTCGAGTCAATTCCGATCCATAGTGACCCTGTATAGGGTTTCCAAGGAGCAGCTGGTGAGCTTGAACCACCAACCTTGCAGTTCAAACAGCTTTGCAGTCCCTTCACCTTAGGAGACTGTAAATGTATGAGCAGAAAGCCTCATCTTCCTCTTATGGGCTTAAACTGTGGACCGTGAAGCTTGTAGAGGCAATTGAAAATATCATGACTTGCTTGGGTGAGGTACACGTAAGTCCTCAAAGTGACATAATTGCTCTTTAGAGGATGAGTGAGCTTACAGAAAGGAAACCTGGTAAAGTGCTCAGCTGCTAACTGAAAGGTTGGTGGTTCCAACCTACTCAGTGGCTCCACAGGAGAAAGATCTGGCAGTCTGTTCCCTTCAAGACCACAGCTCTACAGTCACTTGGGGTCTCTGTGAGTGGGAGTTGACCTGACGGCACTCAACAGCAACAACAAAGCTCACAGAGATTGGCGTGGGAGGGTGTTGGGCATGATCTGTGTGGTTGGGGTCTAAAGTTTAGAAGCACCCAACATGGGGAAGAGACAATGACATCCCCATGCATTCAGTACCTCCCCTGTGTGTCCTTACTGGGTTCCATGCACAGCACTGGTGAATTTCTTCCTAGTCTGTCTTAGTTTGGAAGCTCTGTCCACCATGGGTGACCTTGTTGGCATAGTTCCTAGCATCAAAACAACACACAAGCCACCCCAGTATGACACACCATCAGACGTGTGGTGGTACTCTTGGGGAGATCCTAGATAGATCCAAGATCATGCTAGAATCTTTCTCGGGTGATCTGGGTCCGGGAGCATCCAGTCTGCTCCTTCACTCCCTTATTTATTCACCAATACATCCGCTGTCAAACATTTATTGAAGAAACCCTGGTGGTACCGTGGGTTGAGCACTGGGCTGCTAACTACAAAGCCAGTGGTACAAACCCACCAGTTGCTCCACAGGAGGAAGATGTGACTGTCTGATCCCATAAAAACTTAAAACCTTAGAAAGCCCACAAAGCAGTTCTACTCTGTCCTATAAAGTTGCTATGAGTTGGGGTCGATTTGAGAACAGTGGATTTGGTTTAGTTTTGGTGTCATGCCAGATTCTTCAGCATCCAAGACATCATTACAACTCCTGATCTTGCTCCACTTCTATCTATGCTGACTCCATACCCTTAACTTCAATCAACCTTCAACAGGTAGCTCCATCCCCATCTCCTCTCTCTGTCCTGCCTCTGAGCTCCAGGGGCTGTTCCCATCTAAGTCAGCTACTCCCATGCATGTGCACCTTCCCCTCTGGATGGGCACCCCCTGAGAGCAGGGTCAGCATGTGTCTGACCTGTCACTGAGGAGTTGACTCCAACTGCTGGCAATCCCAAATTGCCAGGGTAGAACTGTGCTGCACAGGGTTTTCAATAACTGATTTTTCAGATGTAGGTCGCCTGGCCTCTCTTCTGAGGCTCTGAGGCAACTCAGGGTGGACTGCTTGAACCTCCCACCTCCAGTTACCAGCTGAGCACAACCACCATTTGTATCACCCCGGGATTCTGTGCGTGCCCTGAAAGTCTGTCTTCTCAACGCCTCCGTCCTGCCCTTGATGGAAGAGCCCCAGTA